ACCCCCATTCCTCCCACCCACCCCCAACTGGCAAGCGGTTAATGATCAAGCTGAGTAAATATTGGAAAATGACCATATTAAAGAGGTTATTTTTAATGGTAAATATTTACTTATTAATATAGCAGGATGGGTACAAGCACAGGCTCTGAAGCCAAGCCACCTAGGTTGAGGGTTGCCAAATTTAGAAAATAAAAATACAGGACACCTAGTTAAATTTGCACTTCAGATAAACAAATAATTTGTTGTCATATGTCCCAAATATGGCATGTATGTATGTATATGTTGCATGTATACATGGTCTTTTTGAGGGGGAGGGTTGCTGAATCATTTGAAGCAAGTTACAGACATCATAACATTTCACCCCTAAATATCAGTTTCATTTCCTTATAGAGACATCTTTCATATCATACCATTATCACAAATAAGAAAATTAATAATTCTGTATCATATTCAGTTCATACTCAAATTTCCCTATTTATCCCAAACCATTGTAGCATGGAAAGGCGTGGACTCTGGAGATGAAGAGAAGTAGAAGTCAGCCTGCCTCAATTTCCCCTTTTATAAAAAGGGAGATAAGACTAGTATCTACCTCACAAGATTAAATGAAGGCCCATGGCACTGTTAGTGGCATGCAATGAGCCCTCAATAAATGTTAGCTATTAGTATTATTGTTGTTATTGTTTATATTATTGATGCTATTGTTATCATGATTGACACTCCTCGGGAGCAGCCCCAGAACATTCTTCTCAAAGCCCTCGGAAGAGAACTTTGGTCGGCTATCCGCGTCAGCTTCACCCCACCCCACCCCCACCGCCGCAGTCCCCCTGTGGTTTGTGACGTCGTTCGACCACGTCCCGACCGAGGGTCTGGCCGGAAATCCCCCTTCCTGTTGCAGATAAGCTTGCCGTAGCCCAGCTGACCTGACCCCAGACCCTCCTCTCCCCACCACCCCCCATGTCGCAGGATCAAGTCCCCAAGACGGAGAACCTGTCCACAAGCCCCCTGCCCCACCCCTATCACCCTGTAAACACCCTCTGCACCCCCTGTCACCCAGCCTGCTGTTCCCCAGGCTCCTGTCCAAGTCCAAGCCACCCCTGTAGCAAGACAGCCCCAGCGGTGGGCCATCCCTGGAAGAGGGGAAGTGTGGCTCGGCCCCGCCCCGGCACCCTGCAACTCGACCCCAGCTTCGACCCCCAGCTCTGACGTCTTGGAAAATTTCCTTCTGCAAGGCCCCCAGGGGAGGGGGTGCATGCTATGAAATGAGGCTGAGACCCCCAGCTGGGGGCAGAGGGATCCGCCAGAGGTGAGCCATGAACTGGGGACTGGAGGTCTGGGGCCCTAGACTCCTGGGTTTGTGGAAAGGGCTGAGGTCCCTCACCCATGGTCTGAGAGAAAAGGACACTGGAGGCCAAGATTCCAGAGTCCAGGGGAAGAAGGGAGCAGAGTCCTGGACTCCTCGGTCTGAGGGAAACCAGGGCTGGGTGCCCAGACTGCCGGGTTCCTAAGAATCACCAGCTCACCCTGTGCCTTCCCCCTGCACCCACCCAGAACATTCACAACGTGCACCCATGGACTTGTGGAACTGGGATGAAGCATCGCCACAGGAAGTGCCCCCGGGGAACAGGCTGTCAGGGCTGGGTAGGCTGCAATGGGTGTGTGTGGCGAGGGAAGGGGGTGCCGGGTGCTGGCGAGCCTCCGCTGACCCTGACAGGCCCTAACCTCCTGATTGCAGAAGGAGCTGAGCTCGGCTTCTATTTCCATGAACTGGCGCTCCAAGGAAACACGCTGACAGAGGAGACATCCTGGAAAGGTGTTTGTGGGCTGGGACTCCTGAGTGCTGGGGAAGGTGAGAGGCTGGGCCCTTAGGTCTGAGGGAGGAAGGGGGCGTGCCTGGACTCCTGGGGTTGAATGAGGAGAGGGCTGCAGGCTTGAACTCTTGAGGTTGAAAGAGGAGGGCCCTGGGGTCCCAAGTCCTGGACCTGAGATAGTAGGGCCTGGGGGTAATAATGACCCTCAGTCCCTGACCAATAAAGACTACTGGGTGAGTGGTTGGGGCGGGGGGGATCTCTAGTCATTCCTCACACACTTTCTCAAATTCAACTACGTCCTTATCCCTCGCAGGGCCGCCGCCACAGCGGGACTGGAGTTCTGCGTCACCGCACCCAGAAGCTCCATGCGGGGCGGGTGAGTGTCAGGAGAGGCGGGAGGAGGGGCCTGGGTCCTCCACCGTGGTTGAAGTTTAGCCTCCCTGATCTTTGAGGGAGAACGGAGCTAGGACGGGGGGACGCCTGTGTCTTCCAGGTGACCTGGCCTAGATCCGAGAGCCCGGGGCCTCAGGCGCCAGCGCCGAGAGCTTCGATTCCTACAACTACCGAGGGGGCCGAGGAGTGGGACGCCTGAGCTTCCCTCACTCGGGGTCTGTTCCTCCTCACAGAACACACCTCTCGGGCTCTTCCATGGTCGGGAGACTGGACTCACATGGCTTGCACCCGCTCAGAAGCTTGGAGCAGCGACTCGCCGGCCCTCGGCCCCGCCCCTTCTAGCCTGAACCCCGCCTCCTTCGCGGGGTCTAATGGGGTTGAGGGCCAGGACTACACCACCTCCTGGAAAGGAGCCAACTGGTGTTCGCGCGCCCCCGCCGCAGCCAGCACCACTAGCTGGGACTGTTCTATTGGCTCCGACGGCGCCACCTACTGGGGCAAGGGCTTCGGCGAGGAGCCGCGCGCCGACTACACCACGTCGTGGGGCGAGGCTGCCTGCGGCGACTATCCCACCCACTGGGACTCGGGGCTGCATATGGATTGCACCACCTCTTCGAAGCAGTACCAGAGTTCAGATATCACCATTTGCTCCGAACCGAGCCAGCAGTCGGACCGCACAACTTTGGCTCGTTACTCCAAAACTAACCACCGAGGTGAGAGGTCTGACAGACTTCGTCTAGGGGAGCCAAGCCGGAGTCTAGTAGGCGAGGCCAAGCGCCTAAGGAGGCGGGACCCAGGAAACTAGCAGCGAGGGTGCGGGGCTTAGCTACCTAAGGACTCGAGAGAGGAGAGAGTGGTGGACCTCACTCCTGAGTCCTGAGGGAGAGGAGGATTAAGACACTGATAGTTTTCCTAGGGAGCAAAGGACTAAGACCTAGGCTCCCGGCTTAGGTGAGAGGAAAGAGATGAGGGTCTGGATACCTAGGTCTCCGAGGTGAGGCAGCTAAAACTCCTAAATCCCAGATGGGGGCCCCCGATGCCTTGGTCCCCGAGAAGGAGGAGATTCGGACTCCTAAGTCCCGAGTTGGGAAGAACTGGACCCTTGGACCTCCGAGGTGAGGGAGCCTGGACTCCTGGGTCGTCGAAGCGACATGGACTGGGGCCAGGAAGCCTGAGTGCCTACTTCCACCCTGCAGGTCCCATTCAGCTGTGGCAGTTCCTTCTGGAGCTGCTTCAAGACGGGGCGAGTAGCAGCTGTATCCGCTGGACCGGCAACAGCCGCGAGTTCCAGCTGTGCGACCCCAAAGAGGTGGGGCAGCTTCCCAGACCGGCCCCAGTCTCTTGATTAACCTAGCCCCGCCATTTATTTTTCCTAGTCCTTGGCCCCGCCCCAGCCTCGTCTCACCTCAACCCCACTCGGCCCCGCCTAACCGGTGTCGGGATCACACCCATTCCCGCCCCCTCCCGCCCTCCTAGACTAAACCCCGCCTCCGCCATAGGTGGCGCGGCTGTGGGGGGAGCGCAAGAGGAAACCCGGCATGAATTACGAGAAGCTGAGTCGAGGCCTGCGCTACTACTACCGCCGCGACATCGTGCGCAAGAGCGGTGGGCGCAAGTATACGTACTGCTTCGGGGGCCGCGTGCCCTGCCTGGCTTCTCCCGACCGCGAAAGAGGTGAACAGGGAGCAGCGACCCAATAAAAATATCCCGTCAAACCTCGTCTGCGTGCTGTCTGCATCCTTCCCACTGATACTGATTAGACCCTCTGGGGAGCCTGTGTGATCCCAAGACACACCGTGACCAAAACACCCAGACCTTTAGAGGACCTACTATGTGCTCGCTGTGTAACGGTACTTGCAAAAGAATTAAACTCAGTCCCCATAGGACTTACTGTGTCCCTGCCCTGTGCTAGGACTTGTAAAAAAAAAAAAAAAAAAAACCAGCCCCAATCACTAACTTGCGAGTTTACCTACTCTGCCCCCCTTGAAAAGAGTACTGCGGGTCCAGAAAGGGCTTACTGTGTGCCTTCCGGTGCTAGGGACTATCAAGGAATTAGACTTAATGCTTACCCCTCAAAACAACGTATTCTTTCCACCCTCCAAGTTGAGGGACATAGAACTCAGACCTAGACCCCAAGGACAGTCTACCCCATTCTGGGAACCACTGAACCCCTAAAGAGAGCCTGCTGAGTGGTCCTCCTATGGAAGACGCTGGGGATTCAGCAGTGACCAAGACAATTCTGGACCCTGCCCTTAGGGAGTTCACCACAGTCCAGTGAGGAGACAGACCCATCACCAGACTGGGACAGCCCACAGTGTTCAGGGCTGGGATGGGGAAAATCCAGGGCATTGAGAGGGCCCACAAGGACAGACCTAGTCTGACCTAGTCTGGGGTAGGGGAGGTCAGGGAAGGCTTTCTGGAGGAGAAAACAGCTGTTTTGAAAAGTCAGGTAGGCAAAGAGTTCCAGGCAGAAGAAACAGCACGAGTAAGGGCCTGGAGATGGATCTCACAGCATTGTTCAATGAACTAAAATATCAGTGTGGTTGGAGAGTGGATCACTGGTCAATTCACAAAGGATGTGTGATGCCATGGTAAGGAGCCTGGACTTTGTCATGAGGGTACAGGAGAGTCATGGAGGGGTTAGGCAGATCTCACTGAAGAGGGTGAATGCAGGCATATAAACAGGTAGTTCCACAAGTAATTACAATGCTGATGAACGCAGAATGTGTAAGAGGCCCCAGACCAAATGAGACCTGGACATCGCATCCAACAGAGTACGTGGGAAGCATTGAAGGCCAGACCAAGAGGAGGGATGAAAGCCGTTCTCTTTTACAGCTCTTTCTTCCAGTCCCCAGGAGGCACTTTATTCACACAAGAAATTCACTCCTTTGACAAATATTTATAGAGCATCTCCTATGTGCCATGCGATATTTTAGGTGCTGGAGATACAATGGTGCATAAGACAGACAAAAGTTGCTCCTTTATGGTTTTCTCTTATATCGAGGGAGACAAAAAAAGGTAAACACAATAAAAAGAAGAATATAGTATGTGATAAGTGCTATGGAAAAATAAAGTAGGGAAGGGAAATAGAGACTGACAAGATGGCAACTTTAAATATTGGGTCTTAGAAGGACTCACAGAGAAGGTGATAGATGAGCAAAAAGTTGAGGTGAGGGAGGGCCAGCTGTGAAGATTATTTCAGGCCAAGGGGATAGCAAATGCAAAGGCCCTTAGGGGGAAGCCAGTCTGCATGTTTAAGAAACTTTGAGGAAGCCAGCTCCCAGGATGAAGCACTGAGAGTAAGAAGAGGGGTAGGAGACGTTGACTTAAGCAAAGAGGTAAACTGAGGCAAGCTCAAAAAAGATGAGTTTATTTGGGAATAGCAGAGAAATTGCCATTTGAGATGGGCAAACTGAAGCAAGCTACAGTCAAGTCCAAAGAGATAGGGAAGGTCAGCTTTTATTAGGTTTCAGGAGGAAATTGGGGAGAGTTGTTTTGAATAAAAGTTCATTGGAATAGAACAAGCTTTGGGGTTGTAGTTTCTCATTGGCTGCAAGCAGGGGTTAGTGTGTTGTTGCTGCTGCAGGGAGGAATTTTCTTTAAAAAAAAAAAAAAAAGCGGGAGATGAAATTCTCATGTAAAAATGTCCTCCTTTGAACCAGAAGGAAAGGAACATTCTTATGATCACGGACAAGTGGTTGAGACCCAAAGAATTTTATGCAAAGAATTCTATACAAACAGACCTCATTAAAATAATTCTTATCTCTATTTTTCCTACTGGTTTTGCAGGCTGCAACGAATGGTACACGCATGAGTTTTCCCTTCATGACTTCCTGACTCCATTTTGAATAAGGTTTCCTTTACCAGTTTTTACAGAGAGGAGGGTATAAAGGGCGCAGGTCATGTGTACCAACGGTGTAGGTCATGTGTAAGGACTTTTGCCTTAGACTTAAATAGTCAGAACAGCCACCAGGGTAAGGTTCTGGGCTAAGGAGGTAAGTGATCTGATTGAGGTGTTAACAAGGTCCTTCTGGTTGAGTGTACTGATTATGAAGCGCAGTAGGAAAGCCAGGAGCACAAGGAGTGGACTCTTGTAATAGTCCAAGGTGGAGGTGCTGGTGGTTGAACCAGAAGCGGTATAAGATTCTGGGTATATTTTAAAAGGCAAACCCAACATTTCTTGCTAGATCAGCTATGGGGTTTGAGAGAAAGTAAGAGTCAAGGACAACTCTGTCCGGAACAGAGTTGCCATTTCCTGAGACTGACCAATTTCTGCCAGACCCTTCACAGAACCGAGTTTTAACTTTTAACCCCTCTTCTTCATGATGCAGGACTAGTTTCTGATGCCACAGTCACCCAAATCTTTGTTCATTTGTGCCTTCAGAAGTTTGGAGGTAGAGTCTGGTCACTCCTCATTACGTGACAAATGACCCTGGGAAAAAGATTGGTTCCTTTCTATACCCTAACAATTGATTCCATAGCAATCATAATGAGGGTACGGATTTTTGCCTTTTGTTCAACGACACATCCGCAACCCTTATAGAAGTACCTGGCACAGGTAAGCGTTCAATAAATAATTCTTGCACGAAAAAGTACTTCCGCTTGGATATTTTCCCAGGCTCACTCTCCAGCCAGCCCCAGGACCCAGAAAGCCTTTCTCCAAGTAAAGCCAGGGAGGTGACAAGAACCTAGAACAGGGTGGCGTCCCAAGCCCCAGCTAGGAGCCCTTCCAAATGCAACGCAAGCTCGTGATTGGGTCTGAGGTGATGATGAACAGGCATTCAGTCCAATAGAGGATCGGAGTTCACATGGATGGGCGTGGCCGCCTCTCCGTGGGCGCTCTAGCCCCGTGGAAGACTCCCCTATAGCCCGCCTCGCCCGGCTTCCGGCCTGTCTTAATTCCGCTTCCGGTCAAGCGGAATCGTCTTTGCTGAGGGTCACATTGAGCTGCGAGCTGTTTCAGGGGCGTCTTTAGGTGAGTGTCGAGGGCTCGGGAATCCGATGCCCTTTCCTGGGAGACTGAGGAACCAGACCGTAGTTTCCCCGAGAATGAGATGAGGTTTTCGGCCGGCGGCATTCGGCCTCCCGGGGCCCTGTTATATTAGTAGTCATAGCAAACGATTATTTAGTTCTTTCTTAATGACGGGCAACATTCCAAGCGACTTATATTAATTCCTTTAGTCTTCCCTCCAGCCCTATGAAGTAGATCCTGTGATTGTCCTTTTCGACAGTGAGGCAACTGAAGCGCAGAGATATTAAGCTCCTTAGACAGCGACCAGTATTTGGACTCAGTAGTTTAGACTGCAGTGCTCTTAATCACCCGGCCACAAGCGTGGCCCCCGCGGCTTGCCTGGGTTGCATCCTAGTTCCCTGGTGTCAGGCCCCTCCTCTACCCCTTGGATGTTGAAGAGGCCGCATTGTCATCGCGGATCTACTCTCACTCCCAGATAGCGGGTCAAGATCTCTCCCCACATTACTGTTCCGACCGCGTCTGTATCCCAGCGGCTAGTGTGTTCATCCTCCCACCCCTAGTCCCACTTCCCTCCTTCCCCCCAGGTCCCCTAGGTCCCCACCTAGACTACCTTGGATGTTTGAATTTGCATACCTCAATGTAATCCCACTACTCTTCGAATTCTCTGGAATAGACACTTTTTTTTTCACATTCCTTGGTGAAAACTGTGTGCCATCTCACAAGAGACATAGCAGAGGATTTTAATCCTGGGTCCACAGAATCGATAGAATTCAAGGGGTGTTAGTACTCGAATGGGGAGGGAGAATTACATCTGTATTTTTACTAATCTCTAATTGGAATGTAGCATTTCTTTCAGTTAGATATGGCAACAGCAACCTCAGTAGTAGTAGCAGCATCTGTGACTGTCAGCATTCAAAATCATAGGTCATCTTATATCAATCATGTTATGGTTGCTGGTGTCACAAAATATTTACACTCATGATTGTTTCAAAATTGTGGTAGTTAATAAATCCTCAGCGACATAAAACTGGTTTTCTTTGTGAGCATGTGCAATTTTTTAATGCATTCAAACATATTCTGAAGGGTTCATGGCACCAAAGACGTTAAGAACCTCTGCAATGTAGATTATGTCAATGATTGAGTACAGCTCCACCACTTGTATGCTGTATGGCCTTGAGAAGTCATTTAAATCACTGTCCCTTGACTGTGAAACAGTGATAGTAATAGTTCCTACCTTTTAAGATAGCTGTGGGAATAAAGCATTTGTAACAGCACCTGGCCTGTAGTAAGCACTCAATGAGTGTTAGTGTTATTTTGTGACAGATAAGGCCTGATTTTACCTAGGAGTTGACTCTTCAGACCTTGCTGTGACTTCCACATTTAGGTGTATGGATTTGCCCTGCCCTTCACCTCTGTGTGTATATGTTGAGAGGGAGGGTGTGGTGGCTTATTCATACCCAGCCCATCTTCTGTGTCTGAGCCCCACTTGGGCATGGGTGGACTGACATGCCCAGCCTTCCCCCCACCACCAACCCCACCCCTAGAATGCCTGCCAGCACTCTTTGCCTCCAGGAGTCAGCAACATGGCAGAAGACATCAAGACCAAAATCAAGAACTACCAGACTGCCCCTTTTGACAGCCGCTTCCCCAACCAGAACCAGACCAGGAACTGTTGGCAGAACTACCTGGGTAAGCAAGGCATGGAGAAATGCAAACCTTCCCCTGGTCCTACACCTGAAGTTGCTTACCTCTTGCTTCATTAGGACCCATGCATTCCAGGCTTTCGCTCTTCTATTTTGGACATCCTGCCTCGCAGGGCCCATGCCCCTTGTCACCAGCTGTGTTCAAGATCTGCACCAGTGCCACAAACTTTGTTCCTACGTGATTTTTTTTTTTTTAAAGGTTTATTTGTGTGTGTGATATACATACATACAGGAAGTACAGAAAACAATGTGCAGCTAAATTAACAATTTTAAAGTGAACCCCTGTGTAATTATAACCTGGTTAGAAAAGTAGATATTACCAGGACTCTGAATTCCCCTGCCAACTGTGGGCCCTGTCTTGAACACAACACCCCACTCTCCCCACTAGAGATGTAACTCTACTGACTTAAGGGAATCACATTTTGGTTTTCTCACTGCATTTGTGAACTTTATAAATACCGTATTTACTCTTTCGTGTTTAGATTTCTTAATCAACAGTTTTGAAGATTGTTCTATACTGTGTCGTGTAGTTTGTTAATTTTAACTGCTTTACAGTTTTCCAGTTTATTCGTGGACACTTGAGTAGTTTCCATGTTGGGGCTTTTACAAATGATGCTGCTATAAATGTTCTTATAGATGTAATTTGATGTCCACGTGGATGCTTTTCTCTCTAGGGAATGTGCCCAGGAATGGAATACCTGTAGTAATTTTTTTTTAAATTAATTGCCTACTTTTAAAATCCAGATTATCCCCCTCCTATCTTCCTCTCTCAGACTCCACCATCTTAGCATCAAGACCACCTTCCCCTTCATTTGCCTCAGTTCTGAAGTTCCATAGTCCCCAAACATGCACATCATGTTGCCCCATCAATCCTTACCCCAAGGTTTTCAAGTTGAACAGCAGTTCTCTGGGGACTGTCAAGTCAATTTAGTGAGGTTTATCTACCCCTTTTTAGTACGCTTGTAAGGGTATGCATTCTTTGTGAAACGTGTCTGTGTCTGTATCTGTGTGTTCGTATAACTGGTTGTGATACTCTGAAATACTCTAAAAGTATTTCTGTGAGTTCTGTTCAGAAATGCGTCCAGCCTTTTGTCTGGGCTGACCCTGAATCTCTTTTTTCACAGACTTCCACCGCTGTGAGAAGGCAATGACCGCTAAAGGGGGTGATGTCTCCGTATGTGAATGGTACCGGCGTGTGTACAAGTCCCTCTGCCCCATATCCTGGGTATGTGACTCTTACTGAGGCCCTTGGGATGCTTGGGTGGGGTCCTAGGAGAGGGGAGTGTGGTGACTTGGTGGGAGCTCATCTGCAAGAGGCAGAGGGAGGACAGAGCATCACACTGTCCATGGAATTTGGCCTTTCTTCTTCCTAGAATTGCTTCCCTTTCCTTCTTTAACTGACCCTCAATTATTCAGAGCTCTTAGCCAAGGCAACCAGGGCAGTTTTCTTGCTAGATCCATCTTGTTCATGTACTCTGCAGATATGTACTCAGTGTAGTGTCTTTGTCCCTGTGGAGCTCACCATCTTGTGCATCCTGTTCTTTTATATTATGAACATTTTCAAATATACATAAAAGTAGAGAGAATAATTCAGTGACCCCAAATATACCCATTACCCAAATTGAGTTGTATCAAGATTTTTTCACATATCCTTCATCTATCTCTTTTCTTTTTCTTTTTTCCTTTGCTGAAGTTTTCTGAAGCAAATCCCAGACATGTCATTTTACCCTAACCTACCTCGGCATCTCTAAAAAATACAAATGCAGTAAGGCAGTCCTTTTAGCCGTGATCTGACTAGGCCTTTGTTACTATTTAAAACTCTCTGCCATACCCTCTTTTTTAAATAAAGAGTTTATGTTTAACATTATCCTAATTCATCAAGTCAAAGATCCCATTGACTATAAGAAACATTGAGAGATGTGCAAATCTTTTTTTTTTTTTAATGCTGGAAATGAATATAACAAGAGTGCCGATTTCAGCAATGTTAAAATGAAATACCATGTGTCTTAGAATCAAAATACGATACTATTACAAAAGTAGTAGTGCTCATTTAAAAAAAAACAACAAATGTGAGCAATACAGTAAAATAAAGAGTAGAACCCCTCTTGTGTTCCCCAGTCCCTCTCTCCGGAGGTAACTACTGTAACTGATTCCCTTTTTTTCTATATATAAATTTATCATATATAAGCTTGTGGCACTTTGTATGTATGTATGGGTCATACTATATATTCTGTTTTATAACTTTGGCTTGTCAGTATGTCTTGGAGCCTTTTTTTTATTTTAATGACAATTCATATAGATCCTCCTTATTCATTTTATTAGCATATACAATGCGTAATACAGATGCTTTTATTTAACTGGTCTCCTTTTGATGGAGATTGTGTTCTAATTTTTCAGTATTTTAAGCATCTTCGATGTACATTGTTGGGGCTTATTTCTTGAGAACAAATTGCCTTAATGGCACTCTTCCCCGGCTCACTTTGTTTTCTTCTCACCTTTCTGGCCACACTGTCTCAAGTGTCTTTGAGTACCCTGTGCCCTCAGGATTTCTCCTTGACCCTGGATGATCTTTGGTAACGTGATGTTTTGATCTCCTAACATCCCCCCTCCAGCCTCAGGGCCTGCATTGGGTGTGTGGTGGACAGGATGCTAGGATCATGCTTCCAGTGCCGGTGTTGCCCCACACCCCAGTTACCACGACCTGGGCCTGCCCTTACTTGAGGAGCATTAGATCGTGTGGTTCATCTGCTTAGATGCCAACTGTGTCTGCCCTGTTAGGGCTGTATGTAAATGCACTCGGCACATGTCCATTTATACCTAGTAGCCCTGGTTCCTTTACTTCAAAAACTTGGTGAAGTAAATATAGGTGTTTTGTTATTGCTATTGCATTTATTTTTTATAAGCAGTATAATCACTTTACAGAAACTTAAAAAATAGAGGAAGAGGCAGAAAAATGTCTCTCTCATCTGACCTCGCCAGTAGCATCTTCCAGATGTTTCCTATGGTATTTTTTGTTTGTTTGTTTTTTGTTTTTTAATAAGTCTCTAATCCCAGTATATGGGGGCGGGAGTTCAGCATTTTTCCTATGTGAGCATTTAAGACATTTTTTCCAACTATCTTTTATTTTCTGGTTTAAAAAAACCTTTAGTTTCTCCATGAAAAATTGCGCTGACTTTTTGTAGAATCTTCAAAATGAGAGATTTATATAATGTAAACAGTGAAAGTCCCCTAGTCACCCCCTTCTGAGTCCTAAGTTAACTTTCCTTAGGAATTTGGTATAAATCTTCACTTCCTTTTCTGTGTGCTGATTATGCATATGTGTAGGTGTGTTTTTATGTACTTTTGAAAATGTAGATATGGGTCATACTCTAGATTCTGTTTCGTACTTTGCTTTTTTTTACTTGACATCATTGTAGTCCTATTTTCATGTCAGTGCAATATGCTCAATTATTGGGTAGCCATAATCTTTAATAGTTAAAAGATATTCCCTTCCTCTTTAACTAGACACATTCTTTTTTCACTATTTTAAATGATACTTGAATGTACAATTCCATTGCAGGAAAATCTTCCTCCCTGCCGCCATTTGAATGGTTTCCTTAGTTTCTTTTCATGAAGTGAGATTGTTGGACAAAGGGTAATATACCAAAGAACTAGACCAGCCTGATCCTTTAATTTCAAAGGGGGTGAGGACATAAGCCCAGGAACTTAGAAATTCCTACTTAGAAATGTGGACTGTAGACAATTGAGGGAATCTAGATGAATCCCAGACATGAAAAGATGTTCATCCCACTCAAGTCATCAGGCAAATGAAGCTTAAAATAACAGGTTTATGAAGGTTGGTAGTGCTAAGTGTTGGTAGTTCCATAAACTATCCAGTCACTTTTTAGGTCAGTTTGGCAGGATCTTTCAAAATGAAAAAAAATTATACCCTAGATATCCTACAAAAATGTGCACATACAGTATGTTCATTGCAGAGTTGTTTGTAATGGGGAACATTTGGAAACAACCAAAGTTAGGTCAATGATGATATGTTTATTTTGATCTACATGACAGAATATAGAAAGAGCTCTGAGACTTGTGGGAAAAAGCAAGTTTCAGGACAGTATATAGTATGGCCCTATTTGCGTGTGTGTATTTTAAAACAGAGTATTTGCGATGTGGTCTATGTGTATGTAAATAAAATAGACACATATGGTATGGGCCAGCTACACTGTAAGTGCGTTATATCAGAATAAAGGCAGACATGCTAAAAAAAAATGGAATGAGTATCCTCATTTTACAGAATTGGAAACTGAGGCCCTGAAAGGTTGAATAATTTGCCCAAGGTCACACAGCTAGGAAGTGATGGAGTGGGGATTCAGATTCAGTCTTTCTTATCCGTGCTTTTATCCACTGCCTCTACTGTGTAGCATGTAAATGTGAGTGAGTGAATGTGTGTGTGTATGTGTATGTAAATAATATGCTTCTAGCTGCTTGTAGGAAGGTCCACAAGGAGCAGAGTGTTACTTTTGGGAAGTGTTAACAGTGATATCGGCTTTTCCATCATTTTTTATGTGTATGTGTACATGTGTGATCAACAGTAGTATCACACTCCATATTCCACTTGGCACCTTTTTGAACTTGACTGTATATCTTGGAGAGCCATTCATGCTAGAGCATAGATCAGCTTTACTTTTTTCAAAAATGCCTAGTATCCCTTTTTTCTTCTATTCTGACAAACGTCCTTGAGTATTGACCCTGAAGCACTGCACAGCCACTCTTTAGAAGCTCTGTACCATAGTGAGTCAGTTCATGTCAGCCCATTCAGGACAGTGATCCTTGTCTTTTTGGGTCACTGCTGATTTCCTAGCTTCTGGAACAGTGTAGGTACTAGGGTTACTTGTTGACTAACTGAAGAAATGAACAGGTGGGCAAAGTGAGGAAGACAAAGAAGTCTACCCATCTGGTTTCCCCACAGAGGAAAGGAGTAACACTGGCTGTTTTTCCACAGGTGTCAACCTGGGATGACCGCCGGGCAGAAGGCACATTTCCTGGGAAGATCTGAACTGGCTTCACTCCACCTCTCCTCTGTCTTCCATCCCTCTCCCAGGGAAGCGAGGGTGGACCTGGGTACATCCCACCCTGGGATCCTAAATCGTGGTTTAACTAATAATAAATACTTGTTGGAAAAGTATAAGACTATGTGTGAAAGAGCTGGATGATGAGCAAGAAGCTAGGTTGGAAATAGTGCCTAGACCAGTAAGAGGGGCTTCAGAGTGATTATTTTTTTGTTTCATTTTGTTTTTAATTTTTATTTTATCAAACTTTGACCACTTCCTCTGTGCCAGACAGTAGAGTGAGTGATTATATGAAATAGACTCAAGCCCCTATATATGCTAAAATTTATCTGCATGTTCCTTTAATTATTTGTACATTTTTTAACATGTAATTTTTGAACCACATGAAAATAGTATAATAAAAACTCATATACCCATCGCCTAGCTTCAACAGTTATCAACAAATGACCAGTTTTATCTCTAATTACTCCCTTCCCCCCTAGACAATTTTAAAGTAAATCCTAGAGATCATATTTTATTCAGAAATAAGTGTATGTATCTCTTAGAGATACATGCTTTTAAAAACATAATCACAGTACTATTATTACACCTAAGAAATTAACAATTCATAATAATATCCAATAAGCAGTCTTTTGCACAGTGTGTAATTTCTCTCTATATTCTGGGCCTCTTTCATGTTGATCATGGTGATGATTGGAAGTCATTTAAGTAGGCTGAATTAAATGTTCTTTCTCAATGCCCCCAAAAGAATTGCCATACAATAACAACCCAAAATATTATCCACCAAACCTGTCAACAGGGAACTCCTAAGACAGTGTAACCAGCTAGAGCACCAAGGTGTGTGGCCAAATTGGTGTTTCTTCAAGACCATCCAAATGGTTATGCGACAGACTTATCTGAAAGATTTTCAGATGTGCAGAGGAAAGATGTGTATTGAGGAAAAATGGCACTAGGAAGGGATCTCCAATGGCAGCCTATGAGGAGAAGGGGCTGTAAACGAGACCCTCATGTATGCATAGTGACTTTGAGGGGCTGTAGAAGCTTCTGGCATGCATTGGAAATAGCAAAGAATTTAAAAAGGAATATGGTAATAATTTCAAAGGAAATGATATCCAATGAAAACTCAAGATGGGGGACTTGCCCTGGCCCCAGTCACATAATTCTGCCCAGAGGCTGCCAGCATTAACAGTTGCCCGTGTGTTCCTTCGGTTAGCCTGTACATGTAGAAGTGTTTCTGTATACATACTTTACATGTATTTGATTTGATAAAGTTTTGATATGGCTCTCCTGTTCCCTCACTGATCTACCACTTTGCTCATGTGGTTCATACTGCATTGGCCTCTTCAGTGTGATAGGAACTGAGTAAATGAGAAGATCAACGCATCAGCCTGGCTCCAGCCTCAAGGCCTGTGTGCTTGCTATGTGCTTTACCTGGAATGCTTTTCCCCCAGATATCCACACAGCTTGCTCCTTCCTGCACTAAGGTCTTCCTCAAACATAACTTAGTGACGCCTTCCCTGACCACTCAACCTACCATCTCAACTCCCACGCACTTTGCAGCCCTTCACTCCTTTTATTTCTTTAGCACTTACCATTAATATTCCCCGTATTTTACTTATTCATCCTTGATAATTGTCCCCCCACCACTAGAATAATTTCCATGGGGGCAGGAATTTTTTTAAATATGTTATTCTGCCTTTCAAAATTTTATTAGGAAAATTTTCAAGCACATAAAAAAAGGACAAATAGTATGTTTGCCCTTATGCCCACCACTTATACATTTAACAATTGTTTACGTTGTGTCATGTTTACTTTGTGCACCGTTATTTTTTATTGAACCAGTTAAAAGTAGTTTCCAAACATCTTGACTTCATCCTAAAGTACGTAAACATGTGTCTCTGAAAAACAACATGTTCCTTCATACTGTTATCACTCCTAAGAAAAACTAATTCCCTAATATCTCATATTCAGATTTCTCAAATTGTACCCTAAATTGTTGTTTAGGTTTTTGGGGTTTTGTTTGTTTGTTTGTTTTTTGTACTAGGGTCCAATCAAGGTTCACATTCTGCTTTTGGTTTTTAGGTATAGCCACACACACCCCCACCCTGCCCACCCTCATAAGGTGGAATTTTTAAAGAGGCCAGACCAGCTGGCTTGTAGAATGTCCCCCAATCTGGATTTGCCTTATCGTTTCCTCATGGTATTATTTAGCTTCTACTGTTATCTGTAGTTAATATAAACTGGAAGTTAGCTCTTTAGAAGAACCTGATTGAGGACGTGGTTCCATAGTGTAGCGGTTAGCACGTCCGCTTTACTCGCAGAGGTTCCTGGGTTCGCACCCTAGTAGAGCCACAGTCCATGATCTGCAGCCATGCCACCCTGAATAAGCCCAATGTCTGATCTTGGAAGCTAAGTAGGGTCGGGCCTAGTTAGTACTTGGATGGGAGACCACCTAGGAAGACCAGGTGCTATAGGCATTAATAATAATAAAAAAATAATAATAATTTTAAAAAGAACCTGATTAATTAGAAGCAGGTTAAGTATTTTTGGCAAGAATCCTTCCTGCGTTTGTCTTCCTATTGCTTCCCAGCAGGAGGTGCCTGATGCCAGGTTGCCCTGTTGGTCTATTCCTGGGAAAAATGGTGGCCACTAGCTGTCTCTGGAAAGATCCGTTTTCCCTTTTTGTCATTGGCAAGTGACCTGTGGGGTGGTACTTTGGGGAGTGTTTCCAGCATGGCACCCTGACAACCTTACACATCTCCACATAAGCCACATAGGCAAGACTTAACTAAGGTCTGACCTGAACCTCAGCAGAACTGGTGATTCTTCCTGAAACAAAGGGAGATAAGCAGTCTTGCAAAGAGCTGCCATGAATGAGGCAGTTTCTCTCTCTCACAGGAGACTGTTACAACACCATTTCTCATCCATCTACCTTGTTTCAGTTGAGCACAGGATTCTACCTTACCTTTCAGGGTATAAAACTACTCTAAAGGTATCACGCCTATTACCTGACTTACCTCAGGCCTTCCAACAACTCAGTGAGCCATAGGTAATCAAGACCCCTATTTTATAAGTAAGGAAACTGATACTTTAAATAAAAAATAAAATAGAAACAGACTCACTCATAGATACAGAGAACAAACTGATGGTTACCAGATGGAAGGCGGGTGGGGGGCTGGGTGGAAAAGGTGAAGGGATTAAGAAGTACAAATTGGCAGTTATAGACACAGAGCAGAACTGTGAAATACAGACTATAGTCAATAATATTGTAGTAACTATGGTGCTAGATGGGTTCTAGACTTACTGGGAGGATCACTTCATAAATTATATAAATGTCTAACCACTACACTGTATACTTGGAAGTAATATTATATTGAATGTTGACTATAATCAAAAAATAAAAAGTCAAGAAAAAAAAATCTGGTAAGCATAACAAAGAAAAGAAAAATTGGACTTCTATCCCCCTGCCAGTTCATGTGGCTATGGGTTTCCTTTTAGTGTATCTATGCAGAAGAGGGTTCAATGCAGGAAACAAACCTCCCAAGGCATATTAAGTAGAAAGGGATTTCATATGAGTAACCTAGTACAGTAAAACTGTGATAATGTAAATTTGGATATAGTACACCCTCGTTTCATTGTATTCAACTCAACACGTTCCCACATTTTACAGGATTGAATATAGCTAGCTTTACAGTAGGGTTGTATATTACTCTTTTTTTAATATGGTATTCCAAATAATAAATGAAAAGAAAGAATATCAGCATTGTGCAATCCCTAATGATTCTAAGCCTTATATCAATGGCTGCAAACATCACCAAGAGACAACCAAACATGATGTACTTCCAGACGGAAGCACTGAACAACCACCCATGAATGTGAGATGTTGAGCTTCCACAAAGTTAGCACCTTCCTGTTGTACCACAATACAAAATAAAAGATAAAAATCCTATCATCTCAACAGATAGAGAAAAAGTATTTGAAAAAATCCTTTTATGATAAAAACTCAACAAGTTGGATATAACAAGAACATACCTCAACATAATACTATATATGACATGACCACGGCTAACGTCATACTCCACAGCGAAAGGTTGAAAACTTTTCCTTTAAGATCAGGAACAAGACAAAAGTGCCCACTCTCACCACCCCTATGAACATAGTACCAGAAGTTCTAGCCAAATTAGGCAAAAAAGAAAAAAGAAAAAACCACATCTGTTTGAAGATAATGATCTAATATACAGAGAGAAGCCTAAAGATTCCACCGAAAAAGTGTTGGAATTAATAAATTCAGTATAACTGATAACTTAATTTCAACTGCGTACAAAAACTCTACCCTTTTACTTTTCCCATATTTAATAAATTTAATGAATTATTGTAGCTATAGTTATTTTCATACTTTTGTCCTTTAACCCTTGTACCAGAGTGAAGTGATTAACACATCAGTTATTATGGTATTAAGAGTACGGTTGACCTTTGAACAACATTGGGGTTGGGGCACTGACACCCTCTCTCACTCCCCTGCAGTAGAAAATCCATGTATAAATTAAGTCAGCCCTCTGCATACATGGATTCCCAACTGCAGATTGAAAATACTGTTTTCAATCCGCAGTTGGTTAAATTTACAGATATGAAACCCTGGAATTCAGAGGGCTGACTGTAAACTTGTTGAAAAAAATTTGCATATAAGTGGAACAGCATAGTTCAAACTTGTTCAAAGATCAACTGTATTTGAATTTAACTCTATACTTATCTTGACCAGTGTGTCTTATATTTTCATGTTTTCAAGTTACTATTTAGCATTTCATTTCAGCTTGTAGAACTCCTTCCAGCGTTTCTTGAAAGGCAGGTCTAGTAATGATGAACTCCCTCAGTTTCTGTTTGTCTGGAAAGCCTTTCTCTCTCCTTTATTTATAAAGGACAACTTTTCCAGGTAAAGTATTCTTGGTTGGAAGTTTTTTTGCTTTCAGTACTTTGAATATATCATCCCACTCTCCCCTTGCCTACAAGGTTTCTGCTGAGAAATCTACTGATAGCCTTATAGGAGTTCTTTGGTATGTGAAGACATTTTTTTTCTTGCTGCTTTTAAAATTCTGTATTTATTTTTCATTTTAGACAGTTT